CTTCTGGACAGCCGCTCACAGCAGCTGCTGGCTACACATGGTAGCCCATGGCAACCCACTGCAGCAGGGGTTGCAGCCTACGCCGTCACAGGCAACTCATGGCAGCCCAGCTCCAGGTTGAGCCGTTGTTCAGCATCTTAGCTGTAGAGGACAGTGTCACTGGCCCTCATATGTGGGATCTGAACCGGGGCCCTCTGGCGTCCCAAGCCAGCTCTTAACCAACGCGCCACTCGGCAGGCCCTCCCCTTAATTTTAATAATTTTCCTATCCTTCTTGCTCTGGTTACTATGGGAAGGGAAACGTAAGCCCATGAAGACACAGCCCTCCTGCTGCCGTACCTATCTCAGCCAGCAGCACCTCTGCAGTGTGCCTGTGGGCTGTCCCCTGGTACACAAGGCCGATGCCCACCACTGCAGCCACCTGGACATTGTGAGGGACATCCAGCTCCGTAGATGTTGGGGGTAAGAGCGCAGGGACATGGATGCTGAGCAGCCGAGTGACTGACATGTCCATGGTGCCCAGCTTCGCAGCAGACACGCCAAGCAGCAGTCCAATGCTCGTCATTTCATGACCCTGTGACAGAAAGGAGATGGAAACTGAGTCACCTCCAAAGCAGATACGTGGTTTAAATAAAATACTTCCTGCTAGTACCTTTATGAAGTACTTTTATGTGACAGGCACCAAGAATCCAACAGCAATCTAACAGCCACAGTCCTTGCCCTCACAAAGCTAGTGCCCTAGTGGGGAAAAAAGTGTTCAGCGGAGCCTAATTTAGATTAGGAGAGGCTGGAGAATTATTAGGAATCTCTAAAAAGGTAAAATTTACAAAAGGACCTGAAGGATGAGTATAAAACAGTCAGGAAAGTGGCAGAAAGGGAGGCACTAAACTTTAAAAAGTGGGAGAATGATGTCAGGTGAGAGACGAACAGGTAAATGGCTCTCAGGTGATCCAGAAATGAGCCCTCACACTGATGCCAAGAACACCCAATGGGAAAAGAATCACCTTCTCAAAACAGTGCCGCGATGGCTGGACGGACCCCTTCCTTACATTCCACACAAAATTATCTATAAATGGGTGACAGAACTACATGTAGGCACTAGATCTATAAAACACTTAGAAGAAAACACAGGTATAAATCTTAAGTGACCTTGGCTTAGGCAGTGACTTCAATATGACACCAAAAGCACAGCAACCAAGGAAAACAGATGAATTGGACTCCATCATAATTAAAAACTTTTGTGTTTCAAAGATGCCATCGGGAAGTGAAAAGACAACCCAAAAAATGGAAGAAAAATTCTGTAAATCCCTTCTCTGTTAATGGATCTGTATCTAGAATATATAAAGGATACAACTCAATAAGACAACCCAATTAAAACGTAAGCAAAGGGTTTCAATAAAATCTCCAAAGTAAACTTACAAGTGGCCTACAAGTACATGAGAAGATGCTCAACATCATTAGCCATCAAGGAAATACAAACCAAAACCGCAATGAGATACTACTTGACTCCTACTAGGATAACTATAATGAAAAAAACAGACAACAACAAATGTTAGCAAGAATGTGGAGAAACCGGAAGCCTTAGGTACTGCTAGGGCCATTGTAAAATGGGGCAGCCACTCTGGAAAACAGTTTGGTGGTTCCCCAAGAATTTAAACAAAGAGTTACCACACAACCCAGCAGTTCTACTCCTAGCAATATACCCAAGAGAAATGAAAACGTACGTCCACAAAGACATGTACATGTTTATAACAGCATTATTCATAATAGCCAAAAAGTAGAAATAACCCAAATATCCATCAACTGATGAATGGATAAATAAATACAGTATAGCCATACAATGGAGTATGTATTTAGCAATAAAAAGAAGTGAAGTGCTGATACAAGGTATAACGTGATTGAACCTTTAAAATAGTTATGCTAGGGAAAAAAGCTGGTCACAAAAGGCCACATATTGTATGATCCGATTTCTATGAAAGGTCCAGAGTCAGCAAATCCAGAGACAGGAAGTGGATCCGTGGTTGCCAGGGGCTGGAGGGAGAGCAGACCAGAGAGCGACTGCTCCTGGGTATGAGGTTCCTTCATGAAGTGATGGACATGTTCTCAAACTCCACAAATATACTAAAATCCACTGAATTATATACTTAGTGGGTGGTTTTTTATGGCCTAAAAGCGGAAGAGTTTATGCCAAGAGAAAGTCTGGTTTGCCAAGGAGCTATAAAGCAGCCAGGCAGCATGGTGGGCATGTGGGGAACAAGGGGAAGGGCACACAGTAAGGCCGGGGTGTGAGCAGGGCCACACAGGCTCCGAGACGCACATTCAGAGCAATGGAAGGCCACTGGAGTTTCCACCAGGAAGTAACCTATTCCAGTTACACTTTAGAAAGGTCGTGCTGCCCATTATGAGGAGAATGGATTTAGAGGTGTGAGAGTAAAGGAGGAAGAGCAAATGGAATGATTAGGAGCTGCCGCAACAGCCCAGGGGAGGCAAGGGGCCAGGGGCTGGGAGGCGAGTCCTCACCTTGGTCAAGTAATCATGGATGTTGAGCGTGGCCAGCTTGGTGAGGTGTCCGTTCAGGCCCAGGGCCATGAGGAAGCCCGCGTACTCATTGGCCAACTCGGCGTGCTTGGGTTTATTGTACGCGATCCAGGCCGAGTCGATCTGCGAGGCGGGTGCTATCTTCAGGCCGGCAGCCACGCCGTTGTGGAAGCTGGCCCAGCTGGTCATGTTGGGAGGCACGTCGATGTTCCCAGTGTTGAGGTCCACTGTTGTGTTCCGGGGAGGGGCACGCCCTATTCAGGCAAACAAATTTAAAATTCAGAGGACAGGAATTCACAAAACCAAACGCTTAAATTCAGATTCTTGAGAACAGAGATGACTTTTCCTACATTCGAAAACTTTAGCCCTGTAACACTGGGAATATTAGGTTCCTATGAGTGCTTGAGATTTTATACATGTGAGTCAAACTTGAAGCAGGTGGAAAAATCTCAATTGTTTAAAGTACTCATTGTCCTTTTTGCTAAAATACACAAGGCTATAAGATAACTGATGCCAATTTAACTTTGTACAGCTCTGATTACGATACCCACTGCTTTGAAATCTTTCTTTCAAACAGCAGGAAGCTTATTAAAAAAGTAAAATAAAGACTAACCACTGTTAAACTATATGAATAATAAAGTCCAACATGTGACTGGTAACACTCATGTTAATTTTAAATATGCCATCTCATATTTTTCTCAGGACATTAAAGGGAAATGACATTTTAAAAGAGACAAAGACCTTTATAAATTCTCTCTCTCTCTACGCGTATGTCTATCTCTCTTTTTTTTTTTT